TTTAAACTTAAACGTGAAACTAGCAGCATTATAACCTTCTAAATCTCTTATGCCATTATTATGTCTACTATCTTTGATTTAATTTCTTTACCACAGTTCCTGTACTAGAACTTATAGCTAGCAGCTCCTTTGGCTCATGTGTAAAAACTGTTGCAAATGAGATGAAGGAAATTACCCCACACCAGCCCAGGAGCCCTTGCTCAATGCTGTGCAATTTTTAAGGTGAAAAATGAGATCAAAGTAAGGTTGAATTCCCCTGGCAACAAGAGGGAAGCTCCAGAGATACTAGTAACATTCCTTGGTCAAAGGAGTTGCTTCTGTGGTGGATACCAGCAATAGCGTATAGGGGCTTGGCCAATTACTCCTGCAACAGTTTCATTATAGAAAACCATTTTCACACAGACTGTTTCACCCATTCTTACTAATACAAATGTTTTCAGTCAATTAGTTTTGACTAAACATATCTGTTTTTACAAACTGCCTAGAAATCTAGGTAACACTTCCATGAAAAGGAATAAAGTATAATTTCTTCCTAGTTTTCAATGTTCTGAAGATTTCCTTCATACTGAACTAAATTTTTTGCTAAGTAATAGCACACCTAGGTTCCCCAGTCACTGAGATAAACACTTCTCCTCACCTCAGAAAAAATCAATCCAAAATCAGATTAAGCAAACTGAGAATTATATATGAAGATAGAAGGAAAGATCAGTGTTTGATACATATAAACACACGTACACACACACACATATAAATACAAGTACTATTTAACTTCAATATGGGGTTTTAGTACAAGAAAACAGTTCCACAAATTTATAATTAAATGCAGAGGATGTAAAATTTGGGTAATTTTAAGAAATAACTGAAGGCACTTGTCAGGGGTGGACCAGAAGAGGCCTACAGAGCCTGGAGAGAGATGAAAAAGCGCTGCAAGGAAGGCTCAGAAGAAGAGATCTCTCTAGAAGACTTCTAGAAACTTCAGCTGTGCAGAACTGCTTGGGAACCAGCTACAAGGCCGCAGCATTGCAGCTTCAGCAGATTCCCCTGTCCGTGCACCCAGAACAGTCCTTCCATTATTCCCCTAGCTCTCCCTTCCCCCTAAGTGACCTGATATATGCCTTTAGCCTATCCCTCCAAGTTCCCATATCAGTAGCTCTCAGGATTTTATGTCCCTAGCCGGGGTCCTACCTTCTATTCCTGAACCTTCTGTATTCCCCAGTATATAAACTGTCATCTTGTTTTAATAAACTGCCATTTTGTGGGTCACACTCGTGTGTCCTGTCTCCCATACAAAATGTGCCACTGGGTCTTGTCGTGGGACCCCCGTAACCCGCGACAGGCACTAATTTATTATTTTCAGGAAATGTGTTACTCCTGTTTTTTAGTAATGAATGCAAAGTGTACTTAAACCCGACAGCTCTTCCTTTGACTCAGTGCAAGGTCTGCATGTAGAAGGGAAACAAAACCCAGTCTGTGAACTCAAAATTACCAGTTGATCAAAGCGCATGACATGTAACACTTAGAATACAAAATTCTTCTGCCCTGAAAAAATATGCATAATTGACAGAATTTATATTGGCTCAATAACTTAAACAGAAATGTTCCCTTATGATGCATTTCATCACTTAGCTTCTTCATACTGACAGTAACTGATGGAATAAAAAAATGTGTTTTACATGAACTATGTACTAACATTTCCTTTAGACTGAATTTTTACCCTTTTTCTCTCTTTCTGGAACTTTATGTCTATTAGGAAAGGAAATGGTTTTTTGTAATAAGCCAATACCAACAGCCTGCTGTAAAAATTATTTCAGTTTAATTCAAACTTGCCAGCATTTTCCTTGGGACATGGCCCCAGTTATGAACAATTCACTTATCAATAACTAATTAAAGGCACATGATACAATATAATTCACTGTAGAAAAAAGCAGCACCAGTAGTCAGGTGAAAAGACTGATTACATTTTAAACTAGAATACAAACTGACAGGAAATGTGTTCACTTGTTCTGTTATGGCCACTAGGGAATTAGGAGAAATTTTGTCTTATTTCTACAAGACTGGGGAGAAGAAACATTCCAAAAGTTTTCCTTTAAATTGGCAATTCTTAGTACTTGCTTTTTACGGCAGCAATACATTAAAGCAGGAACAAAAGCAGCACAATTCTAACAGAAAAAAAGTAGGTCAGGAAAACCCCACACTTACTTCAACTTTTTAAGTTCAACTTGAAAATAAGAGTGGAAATGGAAAAAGTTTAGATTGGCATACTAAATGAACCACTGAAATACCTAATATTTTAGTGATATATATCATACCTTATGCACAGAGTCATGAGCTTGAGTTTGTGAACCATCTTTTGTGTAATTCATGTGCTTTTTCACATTCATATTTATCCTCTGTAGCAACAAATGAAGTAAAGCACAAAATCATTATGTTTTTAGCATCTTGCTTTATTTTTGTCATGGTTTTGCTACACATGGCAAGCATCAATGCATAGTTGAAAAATACCAGTGAATTTGAAATGTACATGAAATACTGGTAAGCAATTGTTGGGCAATTCACCTGTAACGGGCAGTTGTATCTCCCAGGTGACATGGTGTAGCAGGATGCTCTGCCTGGAGTGGGGGTAAAACAGCTCCAACAATGCCCTCTTTGCAAAGCCAGCGGTGAATGGAGAAGCAGGCTGTCCTGCCGCTTTTCACGTGGAATAATGCTGAAACCAGCCTGACTCATCACTTCCAGAGTTAAACATCCTGATAGTGAGGTGAAGCTGTGGTAGACCTGCTGAAGTACCTGATAAAGGACAACCCAGTAATACCACTGATAAACTGATCTAAAGATGCTGAGCTGACATAGCTGACCCGGAAACATATGGCCCAGTCCCACTTTTTAATTGGAGGACGTTGTAACATCCCCCTTTCTGGAGCGTGTGTGAAAATTTCTCCCTGTAGTGGGGATGGCCTCAAGGTTACTCTTCAAGGCTGAGAGAACAAGATTTGCTCACGGTCATTGGTATGGCTGAGTAACATCAATCTCTACTTAATAATTGCTTTTGCTAGCTTTGACGTAATTGCTTCGATAGAACTGCTTTAATAACGTCAATACCATGTCAAAAGTACTGCACTACACTAGTAGTTACAGCTACCAATACTCTGTAGTAAATAATTCTGTTTAAGATCTTTTAGTCTAATCATTATCACAATAAATTCTTTTTACATAAATATTGCCATTCTTAATTCTGTGGGACAAAGCTGTATTAAGGTTCAATTTCACATGTGTGATCCTTTAGACTTAAACCACTGGCAAAGTCTGGGACTAAGACTGGATCCAGCCACACCCAGGTGCCTCTCTGAGAAGGAGTTTAGAAAGCAAGAGGGTGCTTTCTGTACCTTGTGACTCAACAGGGGGGACTTCTCTAATAAACTTTGTCTGAAGCTCCCACTCTGCCCGTGACACACAGGTGAGACAAACACTTTAGTTCTCCTTTGTACTCTACTCTGTCTCTGTACAAATTACAGCATTACATGCAACATCTCTGTTTACCCTGAAAAGCTGCCAATGTCAGCTAAAGTTGCCTGAACGTCAGGTTGAGGTGTGAGACTGCCACGTCTGTTTGGAAGGAGAGAAGAAGTCATGTGTTACAAGTGCTTGCTACGCATTTCTAAGTGGTGTTCACCCATTGCTGTCGTAGAACTGGTGTAAGAATCTGACCAGAAAAAAACAGTATTTTGAAATACAGCTAACAATTATTGTAAAAACTCACACAAAATAGCTAGAAATACAGAGAATGAAAATATGTGGGTTTAAACTACTGAAGACATCCCCATTAATTGATCCTTAAAAATATCTAGAACAGTACAGTACCAATCTTAAGGACCACTGGTGGACACATAGTTATCAAAAATGCTAGAGCTACAGTCTAAAAGTGAGAAAGTGCAATTCTCCACTTTGTTCCTATATGCATTTCCCTTTGCAATGAATCTGGATAAAGCACAAAATTATACAAACATTATACCATGAAACAAGAATATTGAAAATTTTTTACATGGACGTCAGCGTTCACTCCTTGCACTAAATATATTCATTACTGGCATTCACAGCCTGTAGTTTAAAATACAGGATAGAAGTAAATGAATGAGCAGTGCTTCTCTAGTAAACCATCATGCCTTTGGATAAAAGACAGTTCTTGCTCTGAGGGCTCTAAAGTAAGACATTTCTTATGTTGTTTCTGGAAAACTATAAGAGACAGAAATCCAAGACATCAGAATAACTCTTTAAGGAATTTTCTGCTCTTCCAATCTTCTTTCCAAGAAAGAAACCTTTTATTAATTTTATAATAAAGCCTAAACAGACCCATTGTACTGTCAGACAAGTTTGCATTAGCATGTATTTCTAACATGAAGAACAAACAGCTCAGAGACTATTCTTCTAGTGGAAAGACACATTTTAAAGGAGTGAAAGGCTTTCCATAATTAGCATAGTGTGCTGCCACACAAAGTCTCTGGTACTGATTAAACTAGCCATCCCAATTAATAATTTGCTTGGGGGCTTTTTTTGTACTTTATACTAATATATATTTACAAATGTAAATGCAGTATTAACGCATCACCTAACGTTGGCACCCCGTGGTAACCTGGCAACTTAAGGTCAGCACATGCCACCCTGTATATGCTCTTCCACAAAAATAACACCCTTTAACAGCTTTTCATCACAAATTGGAGTAGTTAAGGCCCCATTTCTTTAATGGGCAATGAAGTTCCATGAATAAAAAATTAAAAATTGTTAATAGACATTCTCGGCTTGTACCCCACAAACTAGATGAGAGTCTAGACAGTCTTATCTAGTTAGACAAGACCAGACAATTTTTAATTTGGGACTTTTTCTGAGAAATTCCGTAAATGAAAACTGAATAGTCCACAGTGCAAACTACTACTTCATAAACCTGCAGCATAATAACATTTTCCTCAAGGAACTTATTTATGAGGAAATTGATATTTCTGTATAATTATAATAATAATAATAATGCATTTTATTTTACAACTATGAGGATGATATTGCACTTACTGGAAAATGCCATTTACAAGTAGAGTAGTAATGTCTTTAAGCAAATTAACATTTTGAGCAATTTTTATTTTCTTCTATCTTCCTTAAAGCTTATGTTTTACTGTAATAAATGTTTGCCTTCACACAACCCTTAAATATTTACTAAAAGTCCTTAGTTTCAAATTAAATAGCATTCATAATTAGTGTATTTTTAAAAATTAAAAACAATTTGGTCAGCACATCATAATACTATAACCAAACTGCCTTCTCTTCTCTAAACACAAAGCTAGTAATTATCTGCAAATTTAGTACCAAGCAGCTACAGGGGAATAGAATTTACTAAAACACTACATGATAGCAGGGTTCAAAGAGGTGCATAGACAGCTGCACAGTGTGAAATACAGATTGTTTCTTTCAAAACAGTCCAATATAAGAGTTCAGCAGGACTCTTAACAACTAAATAAATTCTAAAGGCTAACATATTTTTTACAACTGCCATACACTATTAAATCCCCAGTAATACTTAGCATTTATATAGTACTTCACATTTTTAAAGCGCTATACAAATACTATCTAGATTGAAATGTATTGTCTAAAGGCAAAATACAAATCCAAAGTGAACGATGATCAGAAGAGTGGCGCCATGACAGTAAAATGCATGACAGTAGTGCAATTTACTACAGAGAGAGACTAAGAACTTTATCTAGCTATAGATGAGCTATCATGGGAGATCACATGCTTTGCAAGGGAAATGTACAGATATAAAACTATCACCATTCATTAAATAGGTTCTGTGACAAGGAATTGACACAGCTGTAACTGGCTCAACAACCTTAAATGGTTAAGGTGTAGGAAAGGTGTACCACCTTCGAAGGTGCAGGAAACAGAAGAAACCCCTTCAGTGATATAAAGCCAGGTTATTTCAAGAGATAATACAAACAGCCTTTAAAAGCCATCATTCTTACACATCAATGTGGATTCCATGTTTTATAGACATTAATTCTCTAGTGCCTGTTAAATACATGATGAATGAACATAGATGAGGTAAAGATGCTGTAATTGCCACATACAGCCAATATGGCAAAGGCGGAGTTTTTCCAAATGGGCAGATCCAGAGGCCATGACGAATCCCGTCACGGACATGATGAGAAGTCCAGGATATGAACAACATCCAGGGAAGAAAGCACCAGGAGTCCTTAAGCCTGAAAAGTTGCATAATAAACTTTAATGTCAGAGCCACAACAGGAATCACGGTAGAACAATGAAGAAGTGGCCTCCGTGGAAGAGTCAGAGCAGCCTGCAGGAAAGGAAAGTATAATGAGGTTCATGGATGCTTACAGGTGTACTATCAGGTGACTAAGTGGAAGTGCAAAGAAAAACCACTCCTTTCCACTACAATCAGTCAAAACTAACAATATGACTATTTTATGCATGAAAGCTGTGTGCTGCCCTGTCTCTCTACTGTATGCTATGAATCATGGATCCTACTAACCATTATCAACGTCAACACAAGGAGAGAGAGGCATGAGGTATCCTACTTGTCATACAGTCATACGGTGCACAGGAACTTGTGTAATCTGCTGCATTTACTATTTGTATTTAATTTCAAGATAATTAAAAGGAAAACAACCATCCAATACACTTGAAATATTTAATATCCTTTACTTGAAATAAATCATATGGTTTAATGGCATTTATTTTCAAAATCCATTCCATATTTTACTACAGTTAGCACCTGTAAAGTTGTTTCAATCGCACAATGTTTAAAACAGAACGGTAATTTTCAGTACAATAAAAATTGGATCAAAGTGACATGTATTTTGATTGCCTTGAGACAGGTTTCTCCAGGGAGAGGCAAAACAAAGTTTGGAAGCCCACATCTGAAACATCTGGGTTTTTTTGTATCAACAACTTGTTTAACATTAACTTAGTTGAAAGCCTTATATTTGGTTTTAATCTAGCGAGATTTGATTTAGCCATTTTAAGAAGTGATAATGTAAATTTAATGTACACATTTCAGAAAATATCCTGTGGATGTACTCACTAGCAGCAGCTAGGACCACTGCCACAAATTCAAACACTGTAAAAAAAATGTAATAATATCTTTGACAAATAAGGGACAAATAAGTAGATTCATTTTTCTGTAAGCACAGGAAAAGTGATACAGGAGAAGAGATTTTTACTAAAAGGTGCTGATTTAGTATTAATTGGTTGAGTGCAGATACTGCTGAACATTTGGAAGGACTGTAACAAGCACCAGAGATGCAACTTGATAGTGTATCTCATTGCTGTATTGAGCAATCCCCCACTGCATCTAATGCAAACACAGCATCGCTAACCTGTTCGGTCTTTGGTTGTGTTTAATCCTTGCAGGATTCAACAGCAGGAATACCTGACAGCGGGACTCTGGAACAGCTTCATCAAGCTTTCGTGCACAATTTAGACAACTGCTTGGAACCCTATCTTCTCTGTAAAGGAAACTTTGATGTAGCCGTAGCCAAGTAATGCAGAGATGGGAAGCTATGGACCACCTTGGAATATATAACAGCCTGTGCTTTAAACCAAAGCCAACATTACAAGCCTGCAGAAAGCTTTGCCCTATTAGCTTCTCACTACATGCTTGTCCCTGACTCACGATCAGGTGATGGAATTAAAAACCTCACAAAGTGTCTCCATCATTTTTAACTCTAATGTTATGGACCCACCTCCTTTAAGTTGGTTCAAAAGGTGTGTTTTCTACAACTTAATTTCTGTTTCACACAAGCAGGTTGTTCACGGATTAAAATAGAAAAATCTTTCAATGGTGAAATTGTTTATCACCTGCCCTGCAAAAAGTCCAAATTTTCTTACTGTCAACCAGAACTTCAAAAGTCCATTTGAAAAAACCTGGATAGTGATACATTTTGGCAGATAGCCTATTGACTGATCTTTATTTCTGCACTTTGAAAAAAATCAGTAGCAAAGTCTAAATTAGTCTTTTCCCTCTGCCCTGTTAATGTTAGGTACTTACAGCAACACAGTGAGTAAGGAGATTTTTAACGTTACTTTTAAGTTTTTTTCCTACAAATTTTAGAGGGCAGGGTTGTTCATACAGCCAACCTGCGTGTTCAATTTTAGCAAGAGAAAGCCCTATTTTATAACTGCAGCACAATTATTAGGCTTCTGAAATGTTGTGCCCAGCAATATTTGCCCAGAATAGTCTGTTTCCACTTTTACATTCTGTGACTAGAGGAACACTTACATCCTTGAGTTGCCAAGCCCAAGAGACAGACAGTTCTGTTTGGCAATACAAGCAGTTACACTCTCTTTCTCCTAACAGGCAAATTTGTTTGTACTTAGAAATCAACAGATCTTTTTCTAAAAAAAAAAACAGAAAAAAACCCCAAAAAACCCAAAACCACTTAGTACTTAAGTGCCTGAAAAATGCTGCAAACAACCGATTCACAAATGACCTTTTCCATGAAATGCACCTACATGTTCAATCAGGAGCAAGATGATACTGAAGTTCCTGCTCCTGCAGCCCCTCTCATGCACTGCAGTGAGCAGCTGGACACAGGAGACAATTATCACACTCACTCTTAGCTCACAGTGACACCATGGATGTTAAGTAACAACACAGGCTCCTTCACGCATATTCTGTGATGCTTCACAAGCCTGAAGTCCTTAGTTTATAGCAACATATTCAATGTAACATATACAGTTATATTACAGTAATAATGTTAACAATACACTAACATAATCAATTCTATATTAATTGTTTTTGTGCAAAGCTTATTCTCCAGCTCCAGAAATGCCCCTGTGCAGCCCAGGTTGGTCAACAGTGGCACATTAACCAGCTGTGTTATGTAAATTTGCTGGTACAACCTTGTTTGCCGCCAACTGCATTTTCTACACTTCCAGAGCATTCAGTAGCAATACAGCAATTTCTGCAAGTCTGTTCCACAATATGAGTGCCTGGGCTACAGTCCTGGGGAGCAGCCCCTCATGCAGTATCAGCAATCCTGACTGATGTCAGGCTGAAGTAACTATCACCTCTAGTGCTAGTCAACGAAACAGATTCTTCAAACAGTGATTCCTTGATTCTTCTACACACGTGCGCACAGTAAAAAGCCCACAGAACACAAAGAACTACAAATTCCAAGTAGGGAGGTGTTGTAGATGTCCTACTTGTTGCAAAATAATGTGGGCAAAAGGGCAGATCACATCGTACTTGGTACACAAGTATTTATCAGAGCAAACATATAAATACCACAGGTGACTATTTACCCTGAATACTCCAGAAAAATAATGATGGCCATGAAAAACAGACCAATGGCTACACAATTCAGGTGGTGAGCTGCGTCAGCAGGAACAGAAGTAGGTGACTGGAGTAGTGTGAAGGTAGCAAGTGGAGGCAGAAGACAATACTGCCTTGTGCTGCACAGAAAGGTTACTTAAAAAAATTACCCTGTCATCAGATTTAAAAGTGATGATGAAGAGCTTTATAGGTACTTGTGTAGATTACTATTGTTACAAATCGGTAATAGTGGTGTGCTTTGTTAATTAGACTTCTTAATTTATTAGTTACCTAGTAATGTGTTACATAAGCAGTAAACACTGTATGTAGTCTCATAAATCAATTCAATCCTGCAATTCAAAGATGAAGAATGGGACTGTAACTAACAAATATATAGTAAAAAAGTATCCCATGAAGTAATAAATTACATAGGAACTAGCCTGACATGAACTGACAGGTGCATCATATTAAACTGAGAAAAGAAAAATCACACATTACAATCAGACGTAGCTTGCCAGGCAGCACACTGCAGAAGAGTTTACGAGGATTACATTACATCACAAACCAAAGAGACTGATGGCACAGCAAGATGTAAAAATTGTAACAGGTGATTTTTTTTTCCTTTTAAAAAGGATAGAAGTGTACCTATGTGCCACTGAAAGGAAGTAATCTATGCTATTTGGTTCATATGAAGTCTCTTCTAAAATACTACTCATGGTTTTGGATAGGACCCTTAGATAACTCAGGCAAAAGGCAATCCACAGGAGAAGACAAAAACAGTATGGGGTTTGGAAAACATAAATCCAGCCCCATACAATTTTTTTTGAAAGTTAGTTTAACTGAGATTTTTGGTGAAGCATAATGGATTTCCAAGTTGTAATGCTGTTACTGCTCTAAAAGTCAAGGGACCTACATTAGATATGTTTTACAGGGAAATATCCTTAATTACTCCAGTTAACATATGGAAAAGGAAGGAGTTTGTAGGCAAATCACTTTGAAAAATCCTCTGGACTTCTTGTCTTCTCCTCACCTCAGCTAAATAAGTTTGGCTACTGAAAGGACTATGATTCTACAGTCCACATTGTGTGTTTCTGATGTGAAAAATATTTTTGGGGAGAGCAGAGAAATCAGCTGTCTTTTGCAGAAAAACCTTAAAGAATATGAAAACAAGATCTAAATGTCAACAAAGTAGCCTGGATTATAAAATGAATTGCTAGCTGCTTGGGAACTGAAACAACACAGGAACAAACTAAGTCAAGAAATTACAATAATTTACTGTGTTTCAGATACACAAACATTCTCCATCATCGAAAGTGTAAGAATATTTAACCTTGCCTCGCTGAAAGCAGCTAAGAAACAGGCCACCTCCCAGTTCAACACTCAACTTTCCAAACAGACATCGGTGAAGAGAGACATCTAGTGTTCACAATTAAGAAAAAAATACTGGTAATCATTTCAAATGCAATAAAAAGAAGCAGTGCAATTTTAATAATACTTTCTAATAGCAAATCATTCATTACTTGAATTTACTGATTTTAAAATAAGAAAATATACTTGAGAATAAATACTGAATTAAATTCTATTCCATAATGTTAGCATTATAGGATGCATTAATCAACCAATCTGAAGAGTGAGCATAAAGAGAATAGGGCCGGGCTCCTGTTTCCCAGTGACAGAGCAAGGGGGAATGTACTGAAACACAGGAAGTTCCTGTGAGGGAACACATTTTCACTGTGATGGTGACTGTGCAGGGGATCCAAACGTATTACTCAGAAAGACTGAATGAAAATAAACAGCAGCTCTATCATCTACTTTTCAGATATTTCTGCCCCACACTGCAGATATTTCTAACCCTTACTGTAAAAAGAAATGGAATAATCCACTTTATATACAAAAGCACGCAGCCTTTAACTGCTTAACTTGGGTAACAAAGCAACTACGTGATACACATAGGATAGCATATACAGCTTTCAGAACTCTTCTAAGTAGCAGAAACCTAACAGTAGAATGGCTTTTAAAATTTTTATGGTTTTTAAAATCATAAAACCTGCATATAAATATAATTCCATATATCTAACTTTTGCATTTAGGACAAAAAACTAAGCAGTGATGAAGAAATAAGAGAAATAAATTACTGATCTATTGACTTACCTTTAAAGAGAGGGATCCAGCAAGAAAGAAGTGGTCCACGTCAATGACAGAGGCGAGGAAGCCAGCCAGAGTGACCTCAGTGAAGTCACTTTTCTTCCTGAGTCCAATCACTATGGCCCATGACCACATTCCCAGTATACCATGCACTGCATTATCGGAGAAGGCTCGGAGCCAGTCATTTTGCTGAATGAAGGAAAACTGCAAAAGTCTGTCTGCTACAAAGCAGAATATCCCCAAACCTAGACTGGAAATAACTGAAGCGGTGCTGAAAGTCTGGAGAAGAGCATGGGCCTTTTCAGTCTCAGATGCCATGACAAAAGCCATGTCACAGCACACCAAATGTTATCAGGATACACACTGCGCATTGTCCTTCGTTTTGTCACTTGTTCTGGAAATGTCAAGAGATCAGAAAAAAAATTATTAAAGAAAAAATCATTAGCACAAAGCATTTATCACAGCTAAAACTGAGCATAAAAAAGCCCCCCAAAAATTCAACGTTTGCACTAGGGAATTTTTAGTTTCAGTTAATTTGTTGACTTGAACACCACAGCTCTGAATTAAAACACTTGTCCTGTTTTAATTAGAAAGTTCTAATTCCACTTACTGAAATATTAAATTTTACAATGTAATTTGAAACACGTCTATGATAATACATTTCAAGACCCCTTCTGGTCTTAATACACGGTATTAATTGAATTAAATACTTTACACTGCAACAACAAAAGATTACTCAATATGGAGGATTCCTAGGACTGATGCTCAAAAATTCCAGATATCTCTATATGACAACTGTTAAAGCTGAGTTTTTAATCTATAATCCAAACCACTATTTTAATTTACATATTTTACAAACATATGTATTATCACCCTAGTACACTTTCCTGAGCAACTTGTTGTTCAGTTTCGAGACTGGGACATAGAATAAGCCTTAAGAAAACCAGAACCACTTACGTATCTTCACTATTTATGATAAACGCAAAGACAACAACCATTCAGTCAACCAAAGTAACCAAAACTGAGTGCTTACAGGAGAAAACTACATATGCTTTTTTAATTAAATTAACACCTCAAAAGAAATTCCAAAAATAATTCAAGATCTGAAAGACATCTCCATCCCACTCCCCAAGAACAATTATAGGATATCTGGATTACAAAGATAAAGTACTTTTTATTTATGTGATAACGTTAAAAGAACGCTTTTGAAAAAAAAAGTCCTCATGTTGATGAAGTATTCCATCGCTTTGTTATGTTAAACACACTGAAAAGCTGCCTTTGAAGGACAGTACCAATTCTATCTGTTCTAACTGCTGTGCTAGTCTTTTTGGGGAGCCATAGGGATAGACCACAGTTTTGAAGCCTATATTCTATCTAAAAATGGATTATTCCCACGAATTTGCCATTTTTGTGCACTACATTTAACCCTGATAATCTGTCTTCATACAGTTCTATTAGGTAAACTTTTATTCTGAAGGCACTTTTTGTGAGTGTATTAGAATTCCTTTGAAAACAAATAACAATGTTGACACATAATAGTTTATGATTTAAAACACATTATTGATTGTAAGTCTCAGAAAATATAAGATGTTTCTTCCAGACTTTTTGCATGCCTTCTTATTGTAGAATTATCTGCAAGACACGACTGCTGGCATCTTTATAGAAAAAGAAAAGCCTGCTGAATCATTTCTGTGGAAAACATTAAAAAAAAAAAAAAAAGAGAAGCATGAATAATACATAGTCTTTGTACAGAGATGAAAAAAACTGGGTCAAGTTGAGCATCTGTTAACCATGACTGTGCCTCTTCCGAACGAACGTGTAGACACCAAGTATTTCCTGAAACACTGCAAGTGCCATTTTCTGGTGGACGACTTTACAGCTTTTCTGAATATCTTCCATTTTAAATTAAAAATGGTGAACTCCTCACAAATGTTTCTTCTATATAACCATCATGTCAGATTGAATTTCATTTAAAATTACCATATAATCTGTGTAGGAATACAATCTGTGCAGAGGTGATGCAGCAACATACCTCTAAAAAGCACATCAGCATTCAAAATCAAACTTAGCCTGCGACTAGGAGGACAAATTTTTTTCCACTGCAGATGCCTTATTCCAGTAGCAAATGTGGTCTCTGCCTCAGTGTTGAGCCTCTGTGCTTTCTGAATCCAGTCTGACCAGACCAAAGCAGGAAATACCAAACACTGTTTGTTCCATTCTAAATAAAACAAACAAGGCAGCAGTAAGATTGATACTACACAAAGTTCTTCAAACACTCTACAAAACACACATGAAATCTGAACAATAGTAAAAAAAAAAAAACACAGAAAGGATAAACATATATTTAATTAATTCACGAACAAATATAATCGAGCTAAAAGCAACTTCCAGCTAGGGCTTTGAATCGCTGTTAAAGAAAGCACGAAAATACAACAAGAGAAGCGTACACATAAAGACAGAACACAATAATAATTAAAAGATAATAAAACCCAAAGTGGTAAACTCAGAAAAGAACACTCCCAGTCTTTTTACGTAACTGCCTTTCAAAATACAGAGCAATCTATTTTAACAGATCCCTTCTTGTGCCTGAAAGATTCCCACCTAATGAAACATTTATGAGTCCCATTTAGGGATCTATTTTTTAATTTCACCCTATTACCAAGTGGCCTCAGAACAGATAAACAGAGATTTAGAGATTCAAACAGCAACAGAAATCTGTGTCAATTCGGTGTTAGCCTTACACTGCTTTGCTATGAATAGTATTACCATGTGCATAAAGTACACAGGACAAGTATCACTAGAGACTTCAAAAATCCCAAATGAGTATGATTTATTATGTATCATAAATTAAAGGTAATAATGCCAACTGGACAAGAAGTACTTGTGAATGGGTTTCTTTCATACAGAATGAAGAACATGCTGCAAAACTGGCTTTGGGTTGACCTCAAGCCACAGTGATGTCCAAATGCTGTTTTTAAACAGCCTATTTCTGCGACCTTTTTAGACAAAAATATGTGTAAAAATCAAGTCACATTCCCAGGAAAACAATATTAACTATAAATATTCTGCAGATCAAGAGTGAAATCAGACTAGAAAAGGCAAAACTCTGTTCAACCAAAATAATTTCTAAAATGATAAATTTAATGTAAATGTGACCCCCTTTTTTTTCTGAAATAATAAATTTAATGTAGAATTAGAAACTTTCTTTTTGTCTGAAAATTATGATTTTCAAGCTGTTTACAAAATATCACAATAAAGTGTCATAAGTTTTTCTATCCTATCTATAAATCTCAGAAAGCATATTTGCTTACATATTTGTTTTACATTCCTGTTAAAACATAAAATTGGGAAGTAATTCACAAAAGAATGCTTAAACTGGGTGGTCAGTCCAGTTAACATGCTGAAGGGAAGCTTTATGTTGGTTTTACATAAAACACAACAGAGTGACATTGCTTAGAGCTGTGATTACTTGGGTCATTTTTATATGAGATAAAGCACTATATACATCTCTGCCCATGCCCTCAAATGCAATTTTGCTAATATATTTAATGTAACTTAAGGAAGTTACCAATATTACTTTAACAAATGCACAGTTAACACATTAAATTACTGACACAAGAAGATATTTAGGTCAAAACTGTAAATACGCATTTGGGGAAACTAAGAGGCCTTTCAACTCATGCTGTATGAGCAAAACAAAAAACCAGTGGCTAAAATTATCACTTAGAAATACTGCTCTCCCAAATTTTTTCTCCAATTTTGCAATGATCAGGTATGGGAAAACGCATAGGTATGTAATGAATAAAATGTCAGAATCACAGAATCAATTAGGTTGGAAAAGGCCTCTGGGACCACTGAGGTCCAACCTGTGACTGAACACTAGCATGCCAACTAGTAGAATTATTTGGACTTCGTGTAAGAAGTCAAAAGACTGCAGTCTCTCATAACTCTATTATCCCCTAAAAACTCTAATATTTGACATTAGATGTTAATTTTTATTAAAAACTGCATGACGTAGAATTACCATTTAAGGCACCACCTCAAACCTTAAGCATATTAACTCATGGAAAAGGAGATCCCAGCCTAAGACAACCTATGAAGAACTGGCAATGCAAGTGTTTTTGGGTCAGACAATTATACTGCATTATTGGGGCTGGAGGGCGGAAAAGGACAAAAGCCCAGAAGGAACCCGCAGGATTTACCCAAGATGCCGAGGAACTAACTAAATTAAACCCAGCAGGGAATTAGCCTGGAAACCCGAAGTGTGAGGGGACGCCCGGAGCCCCTGAGGGGTGAGGGGGCTGGGAGCCGCCGCCGCCCGTGCCCAGCCCGCCCCGGATCCCACCTGGAGCGCGGCCGCCGCCATCCGCCCCCTCACCCCATCAGGGAAAGCCGCCCCGGCCGCCCTGATCCCGGCAGGAGCGGAGTAGGAAGCGGGTTAGGAAGCATGCGTGGCCGCGGAGCAGCCTGGGACACGCACCAGGCTCGTCTCCTCCCATGCCCGCCCCGCCCCGGTTGTGAGGGAGAAGCGTTTCCCGGGCGGCTTTAGGACAGCGTTTGGGTGTTCGTGCTACGGCTGGTTACAGCGCTGGGAGAAAACAGTCTTCTGCCCTGAAATAAACTATTTATTTACTAAAAAAAAAGGAAAAAAAAAAAAAAGAGGAGAATATAAAGAATTTGGGAAACGTTTTATTGGACTTCTTGGTGTAAGCTTCTGAATAAAAGCACATTTTTACAGTTAAATCTGCCTATCCCTACTCTAGTCACTTCAGCAGTTCACTAAGTTGTTCTATGAAATCAATCGACTCAAACACAACTTCATACATTTAAGAGCAGCACGGTCAGGTCAGCCCCGATGTATTTACACAGCTGTGCTCTATTTCACCTGTTCTCTTTGCCTATACCAAACATACCCCTGGCACTGTTACTGACATGACAGTGGCAGCTCACAGATTTCACGGGTGTCACAATGGCAACTTGTCCCTGTGCCTTCAGCAGCCTTCGTTCCTGCTGCCCCTCAGAGCTCCCTCAGACACAGCCAGGACAGCTCCTATGAGGACACGGAACACAGGTCTTCATCTGCTGTGAGGCTTCACTTCCCAGAAGCAGCGAGCAGAGATTCAATATCCTGAATGACTTTAGAAGTTTTCTCCAAAGCTTCCAAGACGCACCCGACACTGAGTTCTTCCAATTCACTTCTGCTTTCATTTTTTCTGACAGCGATACCAGACGTCCCTTCCGGAGCATTGCTACTGTCTAAAAAAACTAGTGTTACTTTGTTAAGGAAAAACATCAAACTCTTCCTCCAAATGAGAAAAATAATTCTCCATGATAGATCTATGTTCATCATTTTGGATTGCAAAGTTTCACATTTTGTAGCATGGTAATTACATATAGCCAAAAAATAAAGATGGTGTATTACTTAAAATGTCTATAACATTTATATAAAAATGTCTTTTAGACTTCAATTTTTCCAAGAGTTACTTTAAAAAGAAAACTGATGTTACACTGCAGTTTAACAGTGTGCACTTTTCACACTAATAGAATTGTACACTGTTTTAAAGACAATTATAGAGTGGTTTTAAGCAGATTCAGCACAGCACACATTTTGAGCTGGCTGAACACAATTAAAACACCACTTAGGTATCTGATTAACAGAAAGATACTGTACTGCAACAATAAGCCCCAAGGCAACTGCCTTATTCCTCCTTCAAGAACAAATCAGCAGATGACTTAGCAAAACTGATGCAATAAGCATTAAAGGGCTGCGTTTTTTGGTGAGTTTTATTTTGGTGCTGTGACGCAGAACTTGGACAAGATAAGTGATAAAACAGAAATGATAAGAAAAAGAGGTAATTTTAAGAAGTAAGGCAGTAAAAGAAAGCAGGAACAGGATAGAGAGCGTTTGATGATCTAAAGTGAAGATCTGAACATAGAGATAGACAGCAGAATATAAAAGTGAAAAATCTTTACAGCTTTCAAAAGGATACAATTAAATCTCTGTATTTTTTCGAGCTCAGCATCAGCAGACCTGTCCAAGAAAATGAAGATTATTAAACTATTTAGTATCATAAAAGGTTCTCAATGACATTTTATAACTCAGATTTTGTTTTTTAACAGTTTCCAGCAATACTGGAAGTTAGATCAGCAAAATCCAAGTGAAAAAAAAATTGCTTTATTTCTGTCTTTCATACCACTATTCAATGGCTGACATTAATAATTTGTGTTCCTGAAAACTAAGGCTCTGCTCTAAGAATAGTCTCTTTTCTCTATGCATCTATAAATATAGATAAAAATTTTCATTTCATCAGCTACAAAATGTATCAGCTGAAACTGCTATAATTTAAGTAACAAGTACAAGAGTAATTGATGTCACTTAACACATTTTTAATACCTAAATGCGTTTGCATGTGATGTCAGTAAACTTCTGGTCAGTAGTATGTATTAAAAAGGGCAAGTACATCAGCAAGAGATCCAACTGCTAAGTTCAAAGTACTGTTTTGAATTGCTTGATATTCTGTTAGAAGACACCTTTCTTAGTCTAGTTTCTCTTTTTTTGCCTTGCAAGATAATATCTCTGTAACATTAATCCTCCTTTAGCCAAGTCACCATAATTCTGATATTTAAGTAAGACAGGCTCAGTGAAACAACCTCCCCCTGGAACCCACCTAACATTTTAAAAACTGAATGAAAAATATGAAACCATTCAAAATAAATGGTCTTTTTGACCATTAGGAAATGCAATCTCTAAAATTCACAGTTTATAATATTTTTGGGCTTTGTTTTCAACATTATTTATAGTAAATTTTTTAGGACAAAGATGAATACCAGTTTTCTTCAGTTACAGAGTGTGCAGTATCTTCAGCAATCTCTTTCCTTTCATTCAAACTTCTGCACCATTCTATTGCTGTTCTGATGTACCTACGTTAATATGAAAATTCAAAAAAGTAGTTATTTATATGAAAACCAAACTATTAATTCAAGCAAAAACCTGAAGGTGTTAAGCAATACATCTGGATCTGAAAGAAAAAGCTATGATTCAAAATATAGCCTTTTCTCTAGTTTGCCTTGTCATTTTTTGATTCACACTTTTTGTCTAGAATCTCCTTCATATTTAGATTTATGCTGTTATAGAAAACTAAAACAAAGCTGTTACAATTTGTGATGAGTAGCGTACAAGTGGTTATTTTTGTTTGTGAATATCTGCTTGCTAAAATGCAGCACAGTAAGCTTCTGATGATACCCATAATGAGGCTGTAATTCGAGCAAGGAGATTACAGAAAGTAATCTGCAGGCAGAGGTCATTATCTGTAATAAAGCAAAAACTGGATAAAGTGCTGTCCACTTTTATGTACCAGCTCTACATAGGACAAATGCTTTTGGGGTTTCTTCTTATCCACGGAGGTAAATACCAAGTTGCAGCCCCAGTTATTTTTCTAAAAAGACACATCAGTAACAATTATGATGTAATCACAGCATGCAGTGGCCCTGGGTCATACAGGTCCTGAATCTTTGCCAGATGTAAGATGGAGCTTTTATCATTTTGTCTTTGGTCCAGCCCTTCCAGTATATTGTCAGTAAATACTACTTCTTCAGCTAAATGGATTTGTAAGGGATTATTTTATATTTAAATTGTTTAAATTGTTTATACCTTTCATAGACTCCAGGATGACTTATTTGTATTAGCTGCTGTACCCCATCAGGAGTAGTTAACTTACACCAGCCTACATCTTCATTTACCTTGGAAGAACAAACATTACAAGTATTAATTTTCTGCTGTAGTCGGAAGAAGAAAAAGCAAGTATAATTTGCTAATTTAAGAATTAAATATCTATGAACAATCCAGTTCAAACACTTAAAAGTTTGTGTTTTGCTAAGGATAGAATTTGGTACACAGTCTTAAGCTGAGCCAGGGGAGGTTTTGGCCAGACATTAGGAAGAAGTTTTACACAGAAAGAGTGATTAGGTATTGGAACAGGCTGCCCAGGGAGGTGGTGGAGCCACTATCCCTGGAGGTGTTTAGGAAAAGAATGGATGTGGCACTCAGTGCCCATGGTCCAGTTGACAAGGTGGTGTTTTGTCATAAGTTGGACTCAGTGATCTCGGAGATCTTTTCCAACCTGATTCTGTGATTCTGTGGTATAGTCTGCTATGACAAATGCAGGGGAAAAAGGCCTTGGCATAGTCCCAGGACCTGCTTTGTGCTATGTAAGAATAAATTATTTCTAAAAGTGCATAGAAACATCTCCAAACCAGAAGAATTTTCAATTATTTTTTATTTTTGTATTTTATAGGCATCAGAACTTTTGCTTCATGTTCTCACTGATTTCCTAGTAACACTTTTTCATTAAAGGTTTAAGAATAGTCCTTCCTCTAACTCATGACTTACCTGAATCTCATTAGAGGAGGAGCTGAAATCCCAAACCACATTCAGGGTCAACCCATCCCAAAAAGCAGCATGGACTTTATGATCTGAGTACACAAAGAGTCTTCCCATGCTGGGAATAATCTTTTCATACAGCAAAACTGGCAACATTTCTCGTCCATCTGTCTCGGGTACCTAGAACCAAACAAATACATCAAAAACTTGAGGGAAGATTACTTACATCATTACAGCTGTTTGTATATGGCCAAGATTTTCAATTCACTTGTTTATTCCCAATTACACCAGCTCTCTTCATTATGCAATTTCTTTCTCATAAATATAACTTTACATATAGCTTCATAAATATAACTTTATAGTGCATCCTTTTGGTTCCTAAATATCTGCTTCTGATTTGTGAGAATACACTCAACATTCTTCCCTCTAGATTTAGTCATATTCCCTATAGCCTGTATAATCTTCCCTATAACACCGAAAGTTTTATAAATTTTCAGCTACATACCACTTTCCAGCAGCAGAGATAATAGTTATGACTTAATAACAGTTTTGTCTTGCAGCAATAATGAAGTATTCTGAGGAGAAAAAAACCCAAATAAAATATTAAGCATTTAATTATTATTACGTCTTCTAAGCAGTTGAGACCTTCGTTTTTAAAGTTTACATATGTCCTCAGTGCTAATATGAATTCCCTTATTTTTATACTTAATGTAATAATAAGTGTTATATGTAATTTTAACTCCTGTCCTTCCTAAGTCAGAGGAATTAATGTAACAAAGGTAAAGTTACTTGGTTGCCTGAGTAATAATGGAGGATATAGAATATGGATTTCCTGGTACATCAGGAGGAAGACTGTTCACTGAATACACTTTTTCTTCCACCTGCAGTAAAAAGCAGAAAGATGAATTACTTACAGGTACCATAGCATGAAAACAGCATTAAGAGCTTGCAGGTTATGAAATTTTAAATCTCACAGAAAGCAACTATAATCACATTTAGATCTGCCCCAGAACAACTATCTCCTCAAAAAGTAAAAAAAAAAAAATTCAGTTTCTCTGCACTCAATAAGGGCCACGAAGTTCTCTTATCAGAGAGTAGGCAGTAGTTTGTTGCTGAGTAACGACATTTGACTACAACTTAAAGGCTGCATTTGAAGAGTACAAAGCTGATCCTTAATTCTGCTTTAAAAATACAAGGCGCTGCATAAGCACTTGAGAGGATTTGTGCTATGGGGAAACTTAGCAACAGGCAGACACAGAGGCAAAATCCTTTCTCCAGCATTGAACAGCTGGTCTGTAGCAAAGCCAGAACACATCTTCTAGGTTCTGCCTCCATACAGTAGAAAACACTTCCAAGTACATAAAAATTAATAATCAGTATGTTAGTTTAAAAACTAAACTTCTAAATTAGTGACAAATGGTAGTGGTAGCATCTTACTCTTGGGTTTGATAAAATGAATGTTACAATTAATAAAATTTTTCTTATTGTATCTGTAATTTACCAAAATACTCCTTCTGAAGCAGAAGGAGTAATCTCATTTTTTTTTTTGTACAATTAATGGCTCGATAGAGGCATTACAGTAATTCACTACAAACTGCATAGCCAAATGTCTTAAAACTAAGAAACCACTAACTTGAAGGGATTTGGAATATACTTTAAAATAGTTTTATACCTTTTTTGTTCCTTTTTGGACTGCATAACGTATGAAATATTTTCCTAAAAACGCTCCCTCTGACTTGAAAAATGAGTCATCACCAGGATAAACTTCTGTGATGTTTGTCCTACCATGGATAAATCTAAGAAAAAATAACATGGTTTTTAACGGGTGTTTAAAATGCTGTTTCACTAGACAAGCAAAACAGGTTAGTACACTTTAAGAAAGCAACAAGCAGAAACAAATTTTCAGTAACTCTCATGTGAAAAAATTTCCACTGTTTCATAAAGAGCGAAATATACCAACAATTTCTTTTAACACAGAGGATTAGCATTACCAGGGCTGTTTCTTTGCAAGTGTATATGAGGGGGAGGATTTAAATAAGCTAAGGAGCGCTTTTTTTTGTGTTGAGGTAAACATCTCACAAGGGCTGCTCGTATCACTGACCACAAAATATAGTGATTCTGAAGAGAATAACCCACTTTTCTTAGTAGACCAGCCCTACCTAGTGTACACAGGAAACTGCCAGACTGAATGATTCCTGAAAAATCTGAAGCTCAAAACCACACTGCAGCTGTGTGTTTTCCATTAATGTCAATGGTCTTTTATCTGTGATCATAGGTATCTTCAAGCCTAAAACCCACTTAATGACTCAACTCTCTGGTTACATGCCTGGACTTAAGAGGTGGGACTTAAAAAGAGTTAATTGTGGCTACTCACTATACCTTCAAAGAAAAGAGTTTTTTGAGAAAAAAAGGTCTGAACTGCTGCTAAACATTTTGTTCAGATAAGATGAAAATTTAGGAATTACACTAAGAAAAATGAAGAACACTGACGATTAAAGGTCTCAATAGCAAGGATGCTTTTACCAAAGACCTTTAGATGCTGATAGTAATTATAACAATTTCAATTTGAAAGAGTGTTTAAAAGAAAAAAGTCTTTTTTTAACCATACGGACAAGGTGACTAGCCAGTAAAATCCAGAGTTGAACTGCCTGCAACATATGAATTATGGAGGTCACCAAGACAAACATTTCTAAAGCATGAAATCATCAGTATCAAAAGGAACGCTAAGTAATTTGCAAAGAAACCAAGTACCATGATTGTCAGTGAAATATGTGGGAACTCCAGCTGTCCAATAAACCTTTAAGAAATCAGATCACTTCTTCAGAAGCTTTAAACATGGTTTCACATTCAGATCTGGAAGTACATTGTACTAGAAAACCTGAAGTCCAATGAACAAACAGCAGAAATGAAACTCTTACATGGAGATTGTGTTCAATTTCTCAAAGAGTGAGAAATGGACAAAGTAAGACATTTCATCTTAAAGCTTAATTCCCATAACAATAAAGTCTTCCAAAGATGACACACATTACTTCCTACATACCTGTAAAAAACACCCTGGCACCATACAACTTGAATTAGCTGAGGGCATGAATAGTTTTCAGTATCTTCATTCTGAAAGAAGTCACAGAAAGTCCACCTGTGTAAAATGCAATAGAAGTCCAAAGATTGGTTTTGTGGTTTTTTTGTTTGTTTGTTTGTTTGTTTGTTTGTTTGTTTTTGTTTTGGGTTTTTTTGTGTGTGTGCAGGTAATCATTTCTGTAACTAGAACTGATGCATGCACACCTGTTTAAAGGGAAGGGTCTGCATATTTTTAGAGTCCTCCAATTCTTTAGTTATTCACATTAGTTCCCAAATTAAACTTCTCAACCCTGCAAATGTTTTTATTTTTAGTGATGCTGACAAGAGAACATATTCCACTGGCCCACCTCAGAAGTATTATCTTCTTCTCCAAAATGAAAAAAAAAAAACCCAACCCAACCTAACACCTGTGTTCTTTTTTCAGTATTCTCTTTTCCTTTTACATGTTTATACAGTGTATCAGAAAACTGAATTTTTTTTTTCCTCTGGACTAATTACTACAGTTTCATTACAGTAGGATACAGAATGTTGGTTTCACATGTTATGTTTCAAGAAGCTTCTAAAAAAAACCCAGCTGATAGTAATTTTGAACTTTTTTTTATAGCTAGAATTCAGTTATTTCCCTAGAGGTTGAAGTTCCAAATTGAAGAATTTTGAAACATGTTAACAATTACAGTGTAAAGAGCTTAAATTACCTGTGTAAATGTGGAGCTCTGCAGCTAAGTGGCAAAGCTGTAGGTAAACAAGAAACTGTTTCATGTGTTTCAGGGTCTGTTAAACCAGCCTTGATAGATGTATGGTTAGTTTCCCCACATGGCTTCATTACGTTCTTAACCGTATGTAAGCTACAGCACATCAGTGCCAAAGACAAAGGATATTTCCATTCTTCTGGACAGGAGGAAACAGACCAACACTGTGTAACCCATGTGTATTCAGAAGAACAACTGGTGTCTCCTCGATCCTTTGGTTTGGTTGGTTCCCTGAATTTACCTTCAGCACAACCATGTTTATTCTTCTTATTCTCTATTTTTGTTTGTTTCAATGACATTTCTGTGACAGAGTCATTACTTGGTTTTTCACGCTGAACTCCAGTTTGATAGTAGCTGTACTTTTGAGAGGAGCATAACGATGCTGCAGATGACTGGCTGACTTTGCATAAGAACTCCACTGTAAATTCTTGCTGTAATTCTGACAAGTAAAGGTGAGCATAGCCATCTACAGATGAGATCTTCACACTGCCATTGTCCATACATCTTGTCAGATCAGCTGTTGCAGGGTCAGGCCATCTAATTTCTAAGATATCATTGAGAAGAATCTAATACAAGAAAAAGAATTGGAATGTGCAGCAAGATAAAAATGACCTGCCTCTCAGAAATTACAATGGAGGATTTACACTTAAATGAATCCAGTTCTTCTGCAAGGTGATGTGTGACAAGAAATGCTGCTCTGTATTTATTTGCATATATGAACCCAAGAGGAAGTAAAATATCTAACCTTCATATCTGCTGCTTCCTGTTCTAACAAAGTTCTTTCTAGCAATAAAGTTATAATTTAATAATAATTCATAAAGTAGGAACAGGGCACAACTATTTCCATTTCCAAGAAACTGCTTTTAAGAAACACTGAAGAGCACAGCTGAATTATCTTGTACGAATGAGTTACTGGCTGAGTTCATAATGAATTGCAAAAGGACCCTTAAAAAAAGCAAAAATCAATAACCAGACAATAAGGATGCAGACAAAAATTCAGTTGGGATAAACATAATGTGATATAAATGGGGAAAAGCAGTCCTAGCTTTCTATATAAAAGAATGGGCTCTGAGTTGACTGATACTGTTGGAGTTCCTCTAGGCAGGAATGAGATCTTGGTGTTATAACTGTCAGTCCCACAAAAACATACTCAATGCTCAGCAGCAGTTTAATCAGTGTATTATATGTTTGAAAATTTTAGGAAAGGAACAAGAACAGACAAGATATAATGATAACACTGAGTATGTCTTCACAGTTAATCTGCACTTTGAATACTGTTTGCAGTTCTGAACAGGCCACACTGCTGACAACATCTCCCTCATCGAGTTGTCTAGAGATGCGGATGGTTAGAATGGCGAAAGGAGAGCACACCATAGTTGCAGGTTGTTTTAAACTCAGGCATGATCCAAGTAATGCAGTACAGGTGTTTTTGTGCCCTGTGGCACACATACAGTGATACCGTGTGACGGTGTTATAAGCAGCTAAGCATTAGCATGAAGTGTGTTACACTTGCACTGAAGTGTCAGTCTAGAACTTTTAAAACTCGCCTGATTTACCATTTGTCTTAAGACTCCCACACTGGCATTCAGTGGGAACACCAGAGGGATGCTGATGAGGAGTAAAGCTCCCCAAACCAGTAAACTGGTGTCTGGATGGATGTTCAGTCTGACCTAGAGTAGTCCTTGCTGCAAGGTGACGCTTTGCCCCATTCCTCTCACAGGCCCCAGCAACAGTCTGACGCAGGTACTTCAGTGGGGAGACAATGGAATATCGAACCTGAGAGCCTCTTGGAAAACACCATCCTATTTCACTGGGTCTTTCCTGAAAGTTTTCTACTGCCAAAATGTAACACATATAAAACAGCTCATTCTATCCTATGTACAGAATCCTATAAAATCTTTAGTCTTACTAGGAGTAATCTAATTTTAGCGTTTGGCTACAAAGGATCCACATAAATAAAGGGCTAAGTTACAATTAAAACTGTAATTTAGGATGGCAAGCTGACAGCTCCACTGGCAAACTGCACTCGATACATTTCCATGGCCTGTACTCACACAAAAGCATGCAGAGTTATATTAAGTCCACCAGGGAAATTAATTTTACAAAAGCACTGCACGTGTAGCTCCCACCTTTTTTCTCTCTGGAGGTATAACGCGGGAAGGTAAGTACGGGCGAGAAGAAAACTTGTTCCGGAAATCTAGAGCTCGTAGAAGTTGTTCCTGTTGAAGTGTGGAGAAAAACAAAACCACCCTGTTACGGGTTTTTATGTGCGGAGATAACATGTTAAACTGATTTTTTACTTGTCTTTTGCAGAGCTGATCTAAGAAACCCCCTCCACTTTACAGAGAGAAACAAGAACTCTGTGCTGTGACTCCCCTGGGCCGCCCCGTTCCCGCTCAGGGCGGCAGCCCCGGCACTTCCATCGCAAACAATGCTTCCTGGGACAACACAGGGACGAGGTACCGCTGCCCTCTCCAAAGGCCATGCCCGTCCCATACCCTGTAGGCACTGACGACGAAGGCGACCCGCTGGCGGGTGGTCTCCGCCGGCTGGAGCGGGTGGGCGGCGGGGAGCACCGCTGCTTCGTATAGGTATTCGCAGCCGCACGGAGACAGCAGCAGGCGGGACCCCCCCGCGTAGTGCACCTCCACCGAGTCATCCCCGAACAGCACCATCAGCTCTTCGGCCTCCATCGCACTGGGAGGCCGAGCGGGGACCGAGGGCTCGGGGCTCGGCGGCCCCGCCGGCGCACGGCGGGAACCGCGGGGCAGGACGGGGCAGCGCTCAGTTCCGCCCGAGTTCCCTCCCGAGCTCCGCCCAGGGGAGGTACACGCACCATCCCACTCGCTCACAGAGCCTTAGGACAGCAGTGCTGCTTCTCCCGTCTGCCTACGAATTAAACCAGCGACTGGGCAACCCGGCGATCATTCCTGGCCTCCCCACATCGGCACCTCTGGAAAATTCGGAGGCAGGCTGGCCATCTACAACATACCCCAAAGACAGACTACATACAAATAATTCTCTAGTGACTGCTGCTTTACATTCATGTATTCACAGGGCAGGGAAATTCAACCTGTGTACATAGAACTGGGTAGCAGAAGTCGTAGTTGAATAGGCAAGGCCTAATTTCCCAAAGGATAATTTCAAAATTATGCCTAGCTGTCTTTTTGGAAGATTATATACAACACCCTCCCTCCCCTAATTCCTACGATTAATCAAAGCCGGGTTAAGTGGATTGACAGTTTACATCTAAGTGACAATTCATTACCGATCCCCGCTCAAAGCACTTAACAAACATAATTGATTTCCACACTAGATCACATGCTCTTGCTGTAAGAGTCGTCCCTTTCCTCCCTGTGGAGGTACAAGTTTCTCAAATCAGTGCCATCTCGGATGAAGCGCATTCAGTACAACTTTTCCATTCTCAACAGCTGTTTTCCCAGGAGAGAGTAGATGAGCATCCAGATCAAATGCAGGCACAGCCATGCATCAAAATAACCTGGTTCTATTTGCAATACCCTTTCTAATGTGTATTATTCTGTACCGTACTTGCCTGAAGCAAGTTTCAAAGTTCATACTGGGATTATGAATGAGTCATGAATATTAGTTTTTATTATGGATGATACACTGTATTTTGCTGACGTTTTCACTGCTGTGGCTGGAACCCTCACCAAAGAAACTGTGGAAGTAGGTCACTCAGGCTGAAGCAGAGGTGGCAAATCAGCAATTCAGTGTACAAACAGTGTACTATCTTTCCCGGCTTTTTGTTGGAATGTCATTTTCTGTTCTTGTACTAATTACCAGGATGTATAGGCATAAACTGGATGATTAGAACCACAACTCAATCAGATAGAAGTTGTAAACTTGAGCTATCAGTAATTGAATGAGTTCTGTACAGTAGGAAGGAAAGGCAGAATGTGATAAGAAAGTACTGTCTCAGAGAGAAACGAAGATTACTATTCCAAACCAGACCGAGTGTCACAAATATTCAGTGCCATAATGGATTATTGTACCAAAAACAAAAATCCCAGCTCTGCACAATTTGTGATACTGGTGGTACCTCACATAGTGTTTGTTCCTTCTGTAGTTCTACAATTAACCTAAAACCCAACAGTCAAAACCCAATGACCATCTATCTTCCTAAAACAAAAAACAGGCCAGTAGCAAGACCTCCTTTGTAGGAAACTACTGAGAGTAAGTGGACTTCACTTCTGAATGTGAAAATCACTCAAGAGCAAAGCACATGCAAAACAGCAACACTGGCAGCTCAATTTGAGATTACTTTAAGCAAAGTGTGGTTTTCGAGTACTAAGCATTTCTGTTAAATCACAATTAGATTTTTCAGAGTGGGAAATATTGTGCATACTCCTACTGCTCTCTGAAGCTTGGCTCTCCTGTTCAAATCTGAATGTGAAGCCTGTTTCTTTTCAGAACCATTGCTAAAGAAGCTTGCTTCACATGTCCCCCAAAGTTTGCTCTCCATGCTTCTGTGCCTTTGCTGGTTTACCATTACACCATAAAGGAAATCCATCTTTTTAAATAGTTATATATTTGCAAGGCATTGTTCAGAAACCTGTAGATGAGAAACATCTACAGCACTTGAAATGTGTCAATGCTAAATCAGGTGAAATGATCTTTAAGACTCATATCTATCACACACAGAACAATGGGCAATTAAAAGTGGGCAGACAAGCAGAAAATGGTGATTCTGACAGTCAGAAACCTGCTGTTTTGCTCTCCTCACATCTCATTCCACCATCACTAATTTGTATTAAAGTTCTGTCAGATCTAAGACAAGTAGGAAAGACTTAAGTGTTAAAGATTACTGTGTGTTCCTTATGCAGTAGGACAGAGTTATAACTAATTTTTCCCTACTGCAGCAACTGCTTAAAGCTCTTACTAAGCTTCACAGGTACAGAGGCAGCAAACTTCTCAACTACTTCGAACAAAAGTCTCACTTTATGATTTTTCAGTATTTCTGGTGGAGGGAAAAGCTTATGTTGCAAACTTGACCTGAGCTGCTTTATATATACAATTCCTAGTTCTCAACATTTTAATAATACAGGATGATTTGGCACACTTCTTATCTACATGCAAGATATTCTGTCTCCACAAGCTGACAGAGTACATCTGGAACCTGAGAGCTACTTTACAGAAAGACTCATCACAACAGATTCAAAACAAACATGAAAAGTGGAGTTCCTCTAGGTCACCATTACATTACTATGCAGCATAAATGGGACTTCAAAAGGCCCAAATTCCTCTGGACTTTTAGTGCTGAGAAAATAAGTTTTCCAGAAGACATCTGCTTACAAGGTCAGCAGGAAGTCTAACCTGTATTTGGATTACAAATTTTGTAGGAAAATTATGCTCAATTAGCGAATGCATGTGTGAAAACCAGCCAATTTTCACGTTTCTAGCTTCTGGATTTCAGTCTAAAGACTTAGAAACGCTAATACAGTCCTTAGGACCTTATTGCCTTTTGATACATTTTATTTTTCCAATGAGTATTTAAAGATGATAGTCTCTGCCACTGTGTACTTCGAAGGAAAAAAAGAAGTGTCGGGCAAAGGAGAGATAGAAGGAGGTCAAAATTCATTTTTGTTTTAAAGCAAAAAGAACAAGGTAGTGAAACTATACCAAAGGAAACAAAGCTAGTTAAATTTTATTTTCCAAAACTCCAACCTAAATAGGTATGTTAAATAACCATTCAAAAAACAGTGCTCACTCTATTAGCAGATGCACAACTTATTTAATCAAACAAATAACAGTGAAATATTATCAGAATTATTTACATGCATATTTACAACGTGTGTTCTTTATAGTAGGTAATTTCTGGGAATATTTGCATCTGTTCTTGGTAAGTTTTTCTGCTCAGTCTAACCAGTATAGGTAACAGCAAACAAACTGAGTTTGGCAACAAAACCAATGAAGCATCCTAGGAAAACTAACATGATTATATGGGGTCAAAAAAAGAGCAGTTGGCTTCAGAATGTTAACATTTATGAAATAAATGTATGTACTCCAATTACAAAGTTAAATCAAACTACATAAAATTAGAAGAATAAAGGAAGTTACAAGCATTGCCAGAAGGTTAGACCTGTTAGATACATTATTGAAAACGAAAAAAAAAAAAAGAAAAAGAGCACTGCATGTACGCTTGAGAAGCATGGATTCAAACATAACTACATTATTGTAGTCTTGAAGAACACAACAAATTACAGCATAGTTTTTGCTTGTAAATTTGAAAATGAGCTTATCTGAACCAAAGATCTTGAAAGCACCTCACTTCCAAAATACTGCTTGCTTTTTCACATATCAACATATAACATTTATTCCAGGAAAAAAAAAAAGAAAATTCCAGAGCTCACTCATACATGTTTTGAAAGAGTAATAAAACAGAAATAAACAAAACAAAAATCCATACACAAAACAAAACTCTCACAAACCACTTCTCATGATTGTGATCTACAAAAAAAATTAATTTTTTCCTTACTTGAATCACACTCTTCTTGGGGGGAAGGGAAGGAATCAAACACAACACATACGGTATATGGTAAATAGAACAAGTATATCCCCATTATATACTAAAGCAAACAAGCAAGCAAATTCAGATCATTATTCTTTCCCTTTCTTCCTCAAGGGAAATTTTATGAGGCCATTCCCCATTAAACTTTAATTTCAATTATAACTTCTAAATAATTTTTATTGCAGCCAAAACATTGTTCAAAAAACATTATTCATAAAATAAACTATGATATATACACAACATTTTAAGTTACAGGGCATAAGTTTACAATTTTTGGCAGATTCTGTTAAACAAAATGGAAATTGTATAACTTTAGTACTTAAAGAAACGAAAGTTTCTCATTTTGGTACAAATATTTTGCGTCCCCCTGTATTCTAACCATACCTAAACAGGTTTAATAAACTAACATTAATATGTAACATCTCACTGTTTTCTCTCATGTTCTGATTCTAGACAGAATTTTTCATACGCTTCTTCAATTTCTGGATCCATCTCATCATCAATCTCATCAAAATACCTAAAGAAAAAAAAATCACCAAAGGTGTTAAGTTTACTTACAGATTTTGAGAACCATTTGTGTAGATGTCAAGAATAAAACAAAGCTTTATGACATTATTTTTAAAGCGGATGAAGAAGAAAAAATAATGAGTACTAGGAAAACAAATAAACAGAAGCCTCAAAGCAGCATAGGTGAGTACAAATACCTACAGTGTTTGTCACGTTTTAGGTATCTTCTGCTGCCCAGTTTAAAAGACAGAAATAGTTCCCAATATATTTGTGATAGAAAACGCAATCATGCAATCCAAGCTTCCCAAAATCTACTAATGCATCCATATGGATCTATTTACAAAAAACATAATTACCAACGTATTAGCAAGGTCAACATGCTAGCTCAAGGAATATGTTTATATAGAAACCCTGTGTTCCTGTTTATTCATATTTAAAAGGAGGCTTCCTACTGCACCTGTGTTATACTACCTTGTATTATAGGGTAGCTGGACTTTCAGAAACAATCAGTCTTATTTAGGTCAAAGGAAAGACTGGATCCCAATAATTATGTAAGTATTGCACAAAAATGGAGACTACCATAGCATTTCAAAATAAAGCTAGGCAGTGATGGGCATAATTTCAGTTTTCCCCCCACAGTACATTGGGAAGTAACTT